AAAATTTTTAAATTCTTATTAATCCCCTTGCCAATCTACTGAAAACAGATTTAGCCTAACATTCAGCCTAGCATTACCTACACTGTTTCTTAAACTGTTTTATACATTACAAACCCATTTCCATTACTGTTTCAGCAGAAAACATCACGAAAATGCTTGCCTAGGCATTTGATGTACGGAAAGTTAGCCCATGCTTTCAAAATAAAACTGCTCATGTGTGTAGGCTGCTCTACAGAACTACCTCCCCAGCACCTTTTTTTCCTTCCTACTACATTGTAAAAGGCAAGAAAATAAATAGGTTCTGAAAGTGGGTAGTGCTCAGAGATGCTGAAAACAACTTTCTTAACATAGCCCTGATTCCCTGCTCTTGAAGTGTTTTCACACAATGTGGATCAGACTGCATGTCTTCTACTGATCTCTCTGTTCTATTCAGTCGGCTCAAAGAGTGAAATCTGTCTGGTTTCTGCTGGACCGTTTCCACAAGAAAGGCAGAATAATCCTGGCTGGGATAAAGCTGTTCTAATAAGCTCTTACTTCACTTGCCAAGGAAACAGAAGAGAAATGTCTGGAGAATTTCACAGTTTCAGCTCTTCTCCGCTGTTATTGCTGGACGGAGTTTACAGTAGCTCCCAGGCTGTGTTAAAGGAGGCTGGGCTTTGGGTGACTAGACCACAAAGGAAGCACATCTGACTCCCAAAGAGTCTACACTTCTGCACTAACCGAAAGGGAGGATTCAGCAGAGAATCTACGCAATATCACCATCATTTTAGGACAGCTATCTCAATTTATGTCAAGGGAATTGAGTTTATGATATGGATTGTGTATAGTTTTGGATGTAATAAAATCGTTCAATGGCTTGCATAGAGTCTAAAGACTGCAAGGGACAAATGATGAAATATTGGACCCGTCAAAATCCGTTCATTGTAACCCTTGATGTATTTGCTCACAAAGCTTGTATGCATATAAAAAGCTAGCTCTTACAGATAAAATATTAAAACCCATCACTTTCACAGAAACTACAGTATGACAAGCATCAACAAAATCATGAATGGTGTTAGAAACACGAATAAAACACAGTTACCCGGTATGGATAGCACAAGAACAAGTGAAGGCACAGTAACAGGCTTAAACAAACAAAAGGAATTGTTCTTGTACACAGTGCAAAGTTAAACTATGGAGAATATTGCATACAGACTAGTATACAAGATGAAAACACCTTAATGGTTTGCAGATATGATGGCTAAGGTACCCCACTAACTTACACTCTGTAGATTTATGAATGCCACTTCTATGAGAACAGAATGAACAGTACTTGAAAAGAAAAAGACACATTTTGGGGTGTACATTCAGGCTTTTTTCTGTATTACATCATCTAGCTGTAAAAAGTATCTACAGAACTGTCATAAAATCACAGTTTTCAACATAAGGAGTAGAGGAGATCAGGAAAATATATTATAAAATAAGTTTTTGTAACAGCTGGCTTTCTGTTGAAGCAAATTTTTCAACTCCCACAACAGACATACTGAGTTGCAACTCACATTTCAGCATTCCAACAAAAATCTCTTTGTACTGTCTCTTGAAATAAGGAAATCTGTTTCATCAGTATCAAACTTGTAAAATGTTGGCATAGGCACCGGTAAAGCAGGGAGCTTATGGGCATTTTGATCATGACAATACAGTATTGTGTAACCCATTCAGTCTGAACCACGCTGCAGACATATAGTCTGATGCTGTTTGATGTTATGAATTCTATGAGCAAAATAGCCTTGGAAATGCTTGTGGTTCCCTTCAGAAACATCCCTTCACTGGTAGAGTTAAAAATCCAAATGACTCTCTCTTCTTACTGTTAAATTAGTTTTTGCTACCACTTCAGTGGAATAAAGAACATGGTTGCCTGAATGGGGTTGCAAAACAAGTGATAAAATTATAAAAGCTGCTGCTTTGATTCCCGGTATGTGAATGAGCAGGACCAACAAATAGCTGAGTTGCCAAAGAACTGTAGAATGGACCAGTAGTCCACGTTTGTTGTGTCTCTAGGACAGAAAAATGAATCCTCTATTTTTGAGTCATGAGACATTTTCCTCTGAATTATTTCTGAAAGTTCTTTCTTAATAAAAATCTAAATTTATCATGAGCAAATAGCCAGAATTCAGATACCACATCACACAGCAATCTGACCAACTAAAGAGTATTTACTTTGAAACTACTTCTACTGATCCTCATTTTCTAGCGATATGAATTGACACAGCTATGGAAGTCTGTGGATTATGCTGATTTCCTGAGACTATGACTTTAACTCAAGTGTATTTCTGGCACCTTGGAGACAGCATCCTAGTATGAATTCTTTGTAATCAGACAGAAAATTAACTTTGAGGTGACAAGTGTAGGGGGAGGTTAAATCACTATTGCCCTGGAATGAGAAGGAAGATAACTGGGGGAGAGGAGGTGTTGTGCTAGCAAAGTCTAGACCAAAATAAGGGTAAAAGTGTCACCTATATCAATGGAGAAAATACACCTGAAAAAGTATTTCCTACTGTCAGAAAAAAAAATGACTGCTGAAAAGGGAAGTCTGAAATAGGATTGAGGAAGTGTTTTATGATGGATCGATTTCAGTAAGACATCTTGTAGTTATGAAGGACTTATTTCATGTTACAGATGGTCTTTTTAACGATTTTTTAAAATTGTGGTTGCTTTTACTTATAATTAAGTGCTGGCTTAAGTGCCATCAATCCTAGGAACTGCACTACCGAATGGCTATTAGGAGAGACTCAACTTGGGCTATACCTGCAAGCAGGCTCCACTGCAGTAGTTGCTGAGAGTTTTGACAGAAGAGCAGAAGTGAAACCATGTTTATTCCATTATGCATTGTTTCTTTTTTCTTTTTTTTTTCTTTCAGAAAAGGATGTGCCAAACCACTGTTACTCCTGAATGAACTTCGTTCAATCATTTCTTTGAACACCAGTGACCTCTTCATCATCCTCACACCTGAAATGCTCCCGATGATTACATCTCCTTGCTGTCATTCAAACCCATTAGGTCTGCACTTGCCCAGTGTGGTCACAGAGAACAGATTATATCCTGCAGCTTTGCAGGAGCTTTTCATATATCCTAACGCTGTTAATAGCACCCGTGCTCCACCATCACACTTTTTTTCCCTAGGACGTGTCTTCCAAGTCCCTTCTTGGTGTTCTTTTCTGATTTTTTTCGAATTAGTGACAGCATATTTGAAAAACAGTACACCAGACTCCTCTTCCAACTAAGTGCAGAGAGATTCCTTCAGGTGCTGCTGTGTAGGGAATATTTGATTAATCTTTGTTCAAAGTACAGAAGATACCCCAAAGATGAACTACTACAAAAACTCTGTGAAATAAATCTAAGCAATGTGTAACTGTACACACTTGTACATAACTCAAGTGACAGGTGACTGAAAATCTATGGCATGAGCAAGCCACATTTTGTGGGCTACAGAGTGTGTAGCTTCCTGGCAGGCAAATAAAAAAGTAAAAAGTTTACCTCCTCTAAAATGCAGCATGGGTAGGCATAAGATATGACCTTAGCTCAGAGGAAGAGGCATCAAAAAAGCACATTTGCAAAGTGAATCATTTATAATTTGCCAGAAATAATTGCTTCCTATTAGAGGAGGCAAAAGAGTAACAGGGGTGGATGTAACTATTGCACACTGTCACAGAGGAGTTGCAAAGTCAACACAGGAAGGTGCAAAAGATACTCCCAGAGTATTTCTGAAAATGCAGACCCAATGCAACCAAGTTAAAATGCACACTTTTATGTGTATTGCCCGGCCTTTACGAGGACAGTTTACTTGTGTGACTGTTGACTTCTGTTCTCTGGCATAAATGGTGATACATTTAGAATCATTTTGTTATTATTATTATTATGTATATTAACAGTGGTGGAGAGGGATCCTCAAATTAATTCGGTGAAGCCCTGTGCACAAAAACGCGTTTGCCGGGTCCCCGGGAGAGCCCGCGGGCAGCGCAGAGCGCGGGACCCTCCTCGCGGGGCGGACGCGGGGCGGGCGCGGAGCGGAGCGCGGAGGGGAGCGGGGCTGCGCG